CACAGTGGTCCTGAGAGCTAGCATACACAGTGGTCCAGAGAGCTAGCATACACAGTGGTTCTGAGAGCTAGCATACACAGTGGTCCTGAGAGCTAGCATACACAGTGGTCCTGAGAGCTAGCATACACAGTGGTCCTGAGAGCTAGCATACACAGTGGTCCTGAGAGCTAGCATACACAGTGGTCCTGAGAGCTAGCATACACAGTGGTCCTGAGAGCTAGCATACACAGTGGTCCTGAGAGCTAGAATACACATTGGTCCTGAGAGCTAGCATACACAGTGGTCCTGAGAGCTAGCATACACAGTGGTCCTGAGAGCTAGCATACACAGTGGTCCTGAGAGCTAGCATACACAGTGGTCCTGAGAGCTAGAATACACAGTGGTCCTGAGAGCTAGCATACACAGTGGTCCTGAGAGCTAGCATACACAGTGGTCCTGAGAGCTAGCATACACAGTGGTCCTGAGAGCTAGCATACACAGTGGTCCTGAGAGCTAGCATACACAGTGGTCCTGAGAGCTAGCATACACAGTGGTCCTGAGAGCTAGCATACACAGTGGTCCTGAGAGCTAGCATACACAAGTGGTCCTGAGAGCTAGCATACACAGTGGTCCTGAGAGCTAGCATACACAGTGGTCCTGAGAGCTAGCATACACAGTGGTCCTGAGAGCTAGCATACACAGTGGTCCTGAGAGCTAGCATACACAGTGGTCCTGAGAGCTAGCATACACAGTGGTCCTGAGAGCTAGCATACACAGTGGTCCTGAGAGCTAGAATACACAGTGGTCCTGAGAGCTAGCATACACAGTGGTCCTGAGAGCTAGCATACACAGTGGTCCTGAGAGCTAGCATACACAGTGGTCCAGAGAGCTAGCATACACAGTGGTTCTGAGAGCTAGCATACACAGTGGTCCTGAGAGCTAGCATACACAGTGGTCCTGAGAGCTAGCATACACAGTGGTCCTGAGAGCTAGCATACACAGTGGTCCTGAGAGCTAGCATACACAGTGGTCCTGAGAGCTAGCATACACAGTGGTCCTGAGAGCTAGCATACACAGTGGTCCTGAGAGCTAGCATACACAGTGGTCCTGAGAGCTAGCATACACAGTGGTCCTGAGAGCTAGCATACACAGTGGTCCTGAGAGCTAGAATACACAGTGGTCCTGAGAGCTAGCATACACAGTGGTCCTGAGAGCTAGCATACACAGTGGTCCTGAGAGCTAGCATACACAGTGGTCCTGAGAGCTAGCATACACAGTGGTCCTGAGAGCTAGCATACACAGTGGTCCTGAGAGCTAGCATACACAGTGGTCCTGAGAGCTAGCATACACAGTGGTCCTGAGAGCTAGCATATGCAGTGGTCCTGAGAGCTAGCATACACAGTGGTCCTGAGAGCTAGCATACGCAGTGGTCCTGAGAGCTAGCATACACAGTGGTCCTGAGAGCTAGCATACACAGTGGTCCTGAGAGCTAGCATACACAGTGGTCCTGAAGGCTAGCATACACAGTGGTCCTGAGAGCCAGCATACACAGTGGTCCTGAGAGCCAGCATACACAGTGGTCCTGAGAGCTAGCATACACAGTGGTCCTGAGAGCTAGCATACACAGTGGTCCTGAGAGCTAGCATACATAGTGGTCTTGAAGGCTAGCATATATAGTGGTCCTGGGAGCTAGCATACACAGTGGTCCTGAGAGCTAGTATACACAGTGGTCCTGAAGGCTAGCATACACAGTGGTCCTGAAGGCTAGCATACACAGTAGTCCTGAAGGCTAGCATACACAGTGGTCCTGAGAGCTAGCATACACAGTGGTCCTGAGAGCTAGCATACACAGTGGTCCTGAGAGCCAGCATACACAGTGGTCCTGAGAGCCAGCATACACAGTGGTCCTGAAGGCTAGCATACACAGTGGTCCTGAGAGCTAGCATACACAGTAGTCCTGAAGGCTAGCATACACAGTGGTCCTGAGAGCTAGCATACACAGTGGTCCTGAGAGCTAGCATACACAGTGGTCCTGAAGGCTAGCATACACAGTGGTCCTGAGAGCCAGCATACACAGTGGTCCTGAGAGCTAGCATACACAGTGGTCCTGAGAGCTAGCATACACAGTGGTCCTGAGAGCTAGCATACATAGTGGTCTTGAAGGCTAGCATACACAGTGGTCCTGAGAGCTAGCATACATAGTGGTCTTGAAGGCTAGCATATATAGTGGTCCTGGGAGCTAGCATACACAGTGGTCCTGAGAGCTAGTATACACAGTGGTCCTGAAGGCTAGCATACACAGTGGTCCTGAAGGCTAGCATACACAGTAGTCCTGAAGGCTAGCATACACAGTGGTCCTGAGAGCTAGCATACACAGTGGTCCTGAGAGCTAGCATACACAGTGGTCCTGAGAGCCAGCATACACAGTGGTCCTGAGAGCCAGCATACACAGTGGTCCTGAAGGCTAGCATACACAGTGGTCCTGAGAGCTAGCATACACAGTAGTCCTGAAGGCTAGCATACACAGTGGTCCTGAGAGCTAGCATACACAGTGGTCCTGAAGGCTAGCATACACAGTAGTCCTGAAGGCTAGCATACACAGTGGTCCTGAAGGCTAGCATACATAGTGATCTTGAAGGCTAGCATACACAGTAGTCCTCAAAGCCAGCATACACAGTAGTCCTCAAAGCCAGCATACACAGTGGTCCTGAGAGTTAGCATACACAGTGGTCCTGAAGGCTAGCATACACAGTGGTCCTGAAGGCTAGCATACACAGTAGTCCTGAAGGCTAGCATACACAGTGGTCCTGAGAGCTAGCATACACAGTAGTCCTGAAGGCTAGCATGCACAGTGGTCCTGAAGGCTAGCATACACAGTAGTCCTGAAGGCTACCATACACAGTGGTCCTGAGAGCTAGCATACACAGTAGTCCTGAAGGCTAGCATACACAGTGGTCCTGAAGGCTAGCATACACAGTAGTCCTGAAGGCTAGCATACATAGTGGTCTTGAAGGCTAGCATACACAGTGGTCCTCAAAGCCAGCATACACAGTGGTCCTGAGAGCTTTCATACACAGTGGTCCTCAAAGCTAGCATACATAGTGGTCTTGAAGGCTAGCATACACAGTGGTCCTCAAAGCCAGCATACACAGTGGTCCTGAGTGCTAGTACAGTGGAACCTCCACTAACGAGTTTAATCCATTCCATGACCTTGCTCGCATCTGGATTTGCTTGTTTGCAGAGTCAATTTTCCTCATTTAAATTAATTGAAATACAATTAATTCGTTCCAGGGGAATTCCAGGCAACATAAAATACTTCAATGATTTCCTTAATATCAACTCTACGGCTTATTTATCTATTCCAATTTATCTAACATGACATAATAAATAATATTAATAACGTAGAAACATGACATATACACTAGAGTGAATGAAATATTACGTATGTGAGTAGTGTTAGTGGCTGCCCTTATTTTGGGGGCCACCACGGCAGCCATTCCTCCTACTGACTTCATACCTTCCCCTGCTTTTATTATAACAGAAAACAGAGTGTTTGTAAGGCAAACTCCATTAGATTGTCCTTTTTCTATCACTTAATCGTTTAATTGCTCCACTCTTAATGCTACACCGAGTTTGTGTTTGTGTATGATTTCCTGCTTTAATTTTTCTTCTTAGCTCTGTCCTTTGCACTTGTTTCTAACCACGGTTTCTAAGAAAGCAAGAAATTTTGCAAAATAACTGCATGAAATATGAGGAAAACACGAGAATTTCCCTCCCTCCCTGAGCAGTGATGTTTTGATACATATACTGACATCTGGTGGTGGGGATCTGAAACTCACTTATATTATTATTATTATTATACGTATTATTTATTAATATGTACGTATTCTTATAATTTATATTATATTACGTACATAATTATTATATTATACACATTATTATTATTATTACTACATATTCTTAAAATAATACTCTTGCTTATAATTTGGAATTTTTATTCACACAAAAAATAGAAGATTTACTGTCATGCAGACTACTGCATTATTGTAATAATTGTATAAATAACATCAACCCATTCGTGACTGCGTATTGGAGTGGCCACTCGGACAGGTATTGGACAGTGATGTCATTTGTTTGCTCTTGAACATCGACAAAAATCAAACATTTCCGCCACATTGAGCTCAATTTCAAGGTGCTTTTCGTTGTGAAAGCAATCAAAATAATATCCATTTCTGTAATGTATCTTCCATTCTATCAAATGAGACTAAAAAAAAAAACGAGAATACAACCATAAAAACCATGCGAAAATATAACGCTAAGGGCCGGATAATGGCTGACAAGTGAACTCCATTATTTACAGTCAGATTTCTTTCAATTTTGGTGTATGTTAAGAGACATCTTTCCATCATACATTGCTCAAGTTTCAATAAGATAGTCCAACAAATGAATGAGATTCAGTTCCCTAGATCAAGAGCAAGAGCCCCTCACCCTTGAGGCCCGCTCACATGTGGAAATTTCGCTCGCACATGGAAGCAAAAAATTGACTGAGCGGCTGCTCGTATCTGGAAAAACTCACACATGGATGCGCTCGTTAGTGGAGGTTCCACTGTACACACAGTGATCTTGTCAAACATGGAAATCCTTTGCAACAAATGCTTGTTCCCATTATTGTGTTTTTAGTTTTGCATTCCTTTCAAAGATGCTGGTAAAGTGCTCTTCATCCAAGGAATTGTAGCTACCCACCACTTCCTCAGATCAAACCTAATTACCTCCCATTCCTCAGGTGCTGAGTCTGACAGGTTTAGCAATTCCCCAAAACATAAGGATGAAAATGGTTTAGAAAAACACACAAGCGAACACTAGGATATTAGAAAACATTTAGGTCCTGGGACCCTGATCACTTCTGATCAAAGTCCCAGGACCTAAAAGTTTTCTAATAAATATGTCCTAATGTTTGCTTACGTGTTTTTCTAAACTAATTTGTCAGTATTTATTACCAAGGACGAAAATAAACCAGACTGTGGAAGACGGTGATGTTTTATTCCAACAAGTATAAAGCAATGACAGAGCTAGTTATAAAGCAGGAGAATAACAAGACATTTCCAGGATGGTGGTATAGGCTATATACAAAGATAGAGTCGAGTGATGAGGATGGTTTGAGCTAACACCCACTGCCTGCAGCGATACTCTTAGGACACCTACAGGGGGATGCGGGGCGGGTGATGCCTCGTGAAAACACAAACACCTAAAAAAGATTGTAAATTTTTCGTACGGAGGATTAAGAGGTGCTCAAGCCTACTGAACGAGAGGCTTTACTGGTCTTGTCTACAGTACACTACATGTAATGCTGGTATTGAGCAAAGACTCATTAATTGAATCTGTAGGTGAGCAAAAGGTAACAGTAACCACCACTCTTTAGCAGTTTAAATAAAATTTGTAGTAATATCTGAAGAACTAAAAGTAAATTTGCACAAAATAAATCTTAAACATGTCGTGATTCATTAATGTGAGCTGAAAGGATTTTTCTAGTAGCTTTTATAAGCTTTCTTTTGAAAGCTCCTTGTTACTCTCTGCGCTGTATAACCCTTGCAGTTTAGCGCTTCTTTTGATTATAATAATCCTTGTTACTCTGATGATGTAAATAGCCCTTTCACCACACATCACCTTTATTTCTCAGTGACATGATGATTCTCATAAAATTATACTGTATTGTACTGGTACATTAAAAATTGATCACTGGATGGGGTTACTATTATCTTCCCCATATCCCATAACCTGTCTCCCTCCCACACTGCAGTCTGCACTTAATATAAGGGGAATCTATTCACTTGGAATCTACCATGGAGACATACTGGTTTAAATTTGTTTAATCAACAGATTCAGAAGAACAAATGTTATATGACTTGGCTCACTGGAAATGGCACTATACACAGTCATGAGAGAACTACACTGGGTTTCAAACATCCTTAGATGAAATATCATTCAAGTGAGAAAAATGCATTTAGAACCTACCCTTCAGAATTCCATTTTTTATATAAAATTACGTTCTCTCTGAACCATTCACTTGATATGTTCCCTAACTTCATTCTTCAGCACTTAAGAATGTATCCCTGTATTCTATACCCCAAATACTGTGCCCTAGTGCCACCCCAGGGCAGCAGGCAGACGGGAGAAGCTGGATTAGTTATATACACAATTGTGGGTAATGAGTACAGCATATTTACAAATGTTTACACATAGAACAGGCCTGTACTGTAACCTGTTATCATGTTGAACTTATCAATGGAGCCTTGAACATTACATCTCTGAGATCATGATACAAATCAGTAACAGTATTTACAACCAGTAATGATATACAAAGGCATACTAAAATATTTTGCATATCTATAGCTTGGTCATCCTAAATCATCTTTGCTTCAGCTTTGGCATACTGTTCTTTAATTAAGAGTGCATTCGGAATCCTCAGAGCATATTAACTGCAACATACCTATCTCACAGAGACAGAGCAGAAGTCTACAAGATGCTTGTGGTTGTATGCTGACATTTCAGCCATGTAGATCTCAATAATAATAATAGTAATAATAATAATAATAATAATGATAATTATAATTATATACATGACATGCATTCATACCTATACATACACACACATGGTGTAGCACTTTCTTGGGAATATAATGACATGTGCAAATGCACGCACATGCACATATAGGCAAGTACACACACACACGCACACTTACACCTCCCGCAAACACATAACTAGTTCAATACACATGCACACACACATGCAGAAAGTCCCCAGGCTACGAACACCTGAATTACTGTGATCCACATTCAGACTGGGCCATTGTAGAATAAATTTCTTAACACCGGTCTAAAGATACAGATATTGCAAAGATTTAAATGAAGTTCCAGAATTCATTTTGTATCTATTATCTTCAGTCAAATGATTTGATTTTTAATATGCTTATTGGGTAGAAATTGGTTAAAACTGTAATTTAATAATTACAATTTTGTTAAGAGTTTGTTCTAATGCTATATTTTGTATAGTAATTTCATTTTATGCAGGCAAGATGGACATTAAAAATATTTCGTAGAAATTGGTCAAGAACTGAAAATTCAAAATAAAACGACACAGTACCATGTCTGGAACAATATGCTCTACTAATAATCTGTTTGTATAATCCTACGGGTTTAGTGCTCCCCCATGATTATAATAATAATAATACTAATAATCTGCACATATGGTTAAGAAACTTATAATGATGTTTTGGTCCGACTTGGTCCATTAACTAGTCTCACAGTTAATGGTCTAAGCCAGATTGAAACATTGTCATAAGTTTCTTTCCCATATGTGTGCAGGTTATTTGTGAACTGAAGATAAAATTATTTAGTTTGGGGGTGTGGGTGGGAGGAGGCAGTTGTCTCATGTGTGTGTTCAAGACTGGCTCTACTGTTGTTGTGGCAAGAGGTGACCCACACCACACCCCTCTCTGCCACATCACAGGTTTGGTGATATTCTTATCCTGACTACAGCCCTCCCTGCCGTATCTCCAGGAACTTCCTAGCCTCACACACACCCCCAACCACTCTCACCATAACAGTAAGGGATGGAGCATACATAGTGTGCCTTGTGTCACATACAATGGGAGGGAAGAGGATGGATGGAAGAGATGAGTCTCTCAGGTGAGCACATTATTTTTAATTGTCTAAAACCATAAATGACATTACTTATTCAGAGGGGTTGTTGAGGTGGTTTGGTCATTTAGAGAGAATGGAACAAAGTAGAATGACTTGGAGAGTGTATAAATCTGTAGGGGAAGGAAGGTGGGGCAGGGGTCTTCCTTGAAAAGGTTGGAGGGAGGGGGTAAAGGAGGTTTTGTGGGCAAGGGGCTTGGACTTCCAGCAAGCATGCATGAGTGTGTTAGATAGGAGTAAATGGAGATGAATGGTTTTTAGGACCTGACGAGCTGTTGGAGTGTTTGGAAGGTAACATTTTACGAAGGGATTCAGGGAAACCAGTTAGCTGGACTTGAGTCCTTGAAATAGGAAGTACAATGCCTGCACTTTAGAGGATTTGGGATATTGGCAGTTTGGAGGGACATCTAAACTGTCATATCTGAGTGCTTCTGCAAAGACAGTGATTATGTATGAATGATGACGAAAGACTTTTTCTTTCTTTTTGGGTCACCCTGCCTTGGTGGGAAGCGGTCAATGTGTTAAGAATAAATACAGTATATAAAGTTCAACCAGACTTCATAGCTTGCTAAAACACCTTCACATTATGCACCATAAAGCATGAATCAGCATAGCGTCATTTTGCACACAATATGAGTACTAGGTTGTCTGTCGCTTACTAGTGCATCATAGTGATCAGTCACTGAATTTCTTGTGTGCATAATTCACAGCTCCCTCAAACTTACTGAAAGTAGAATATTTTAGCCTTGATGTGAGAGAGTGAGTGTCTGTGTATTAAGTGTACATTAAACCTTTGACCCTATGCTTGGATTAAAATAGTAATTTGTGGTCATTGTCTAGGTTGGTTTTTATTGTTTTATTGGCTGTTTCTTGGTGCCAATAGATGGACCAGAAGACAAACAAGGAAAATAGATAAGATTTAGGTCAGTTTAGGACTGGAAGTGACAATAAATGATAGATATTGGACGATTTTCCTGGGGAAGGGTGGAGCCCCCATCCCCTGCCTGCCCCAGTCTGTTTTATGGTTTTTACTAGATCTGTTGTAATTATCAGGATAGTCAAGCATTCTTAGTATTGTTTTATGAGCTGAGAAATAAGGTAAACCAATTTTTAGTATACATGATGGATTCCAAATAAAGGGCATTAATGAATAGAAATTAATAAACAGGGAAAAGTTGTTTTAATGGCCAAGATATCTAAAGTTTTTCTTCTGCACTCTCTGTTTTCAAAATGGAATTTGTCATGTAAAATCAGCCACATTACCAGCTTCTGGACACTTCATAGTGTTGCTGTAATTATTGAATGGGCAGTTTCTTGCTATCACTGAACTGTATGAAAGGCATATTCATTACATGAAGTGCTTCCTGCACCTGCATAATTCTAGAAGTATTTCATCAAATTTTGCATTTTTGGTGCCATTGCCTTGAGGAAAAGATTCTCTGCCATTTTAGAAGATTCAACAATATTTCAGAAAGACTATCATAGAAGGGGCTTTCAATTTGGGAGGCTGCAGACAGTTTAATGCTTAATTGAGTGTTTAAGGAGGCAGAGTTTCCCTTTCCCACTGCCAAGTATATAAGACCAAATTTTTTAACAAAAGAGTAAGGGGTCAACCTGTTCAAGAGCAGTATTTTCAATAGGTTGAAATTCATACATATTATGGCCTACCACACACTAGATTCCTACATCATTGGTGTAACAAAGGCAACAACTGCCCTCAGTAATCATATTCCACCTTAAATATCTAAACTGATGATATCCCATAATTTCATTTGTATTTGCCAAACACCAGGAATAATCGTAAAGAGAGTTAAGTCAGAGGCTGCCATAGTGAAAAGCTCTATTCCCCAAGCACAGTACTTGCTTCCCATCTTTTCCTCATCCTTTTATCCGACATAGACAAATCATAGCACTGTATAATCCTTTACGATGATAAAATTTGTATGAGAGTGGCACCCATTGAAGATAGAGCAAACCTCCAAGCAAATATAAAAAGTTTTCCAGTGGGCCACTAAAAATAATGTGATATTCATCAGTGAAGAATTTCAGCTACTCTACTGTAAACAAATGAGGTAATAAAAGCTAGAACGGGGCATAATATTAACTTGAGCCACTCAGTAAAATGAAAAAGAACTTGAAGGAATCGAGAGTGATAATACTGGAGGTTCTCACATTCTAGGATCACAACAATGTTGCTATCACAGTCACAAGAAAAATGATGGGATGGATAACAAGAACCTGCAATAGGAGATGCCAAGCCAATGATGGTCCTTTTTAAGTCACTTGTTCTCTCTAGACTGAAATACTGCTATACACTAGCAGTCTTTTTTAAGATGGATGAAATTGCAGACCTAGAGAATGTACAGAAAACCTTCACTGCTCATAAACATTCATTCAACCACCTGAATTACTGGGAATATTTGAATTCCCACACCTGTATTCTATATGGAACAGGTGAAAAAGTTACTTTATAATTTACACCTGGAAAATCTTCGAGGGACTGATCCTAAATCTACACAAAAAAAATCACTCCCTACAAAAGGAAGAGGCTTGGCTGACAGTCCAATATGCCTCTAATGAAAAGCAACAGTGCCATGAGTACACTAAGAGATAACATGGAAAATGTCAGGGGCCCAAGACTATTCAACAGCCTCCCAGCATACATAAAGGGAATTACCAGCAGATCCCTGGCTGTCTTCAAGGTAAATTTGGCAAATTCCTTAAGTCAATTCCTGATCAGCTCTGGTTTGTGAATAAAACACAATTGTGCAGTTTATGGCATTTATTGAGGTGTTTCATTCATCAGGAACTTTGTGAATCTATATAGATATAAACAAATGGAGTGTCTATATCTCACTATATCATAAATATAGTGAGGTAAATGATGAGCTGGTCATGTTTCACCATCAGTTATAATGAGGCTTCTATGCACATTATAACACTTTTTTTTTTTTACCTCACCAGCCATCTGCCACTGAGGTGGGAGATGGCTGGTGAGTTAGTAATTTATACAGAAGGAATTACTAGCTCCTTGTTTCCAACAGGGTAGGAGTCATCCTAGGAAAGGTTGTAGGGAGAGGGTAAAGGAGGTTTTGCATGAGAGGGGCTCATATCTAAGATATGAGCGAGTGGAGGCAAATGATTTTTATGACTTGATGTGCTGTTGGAGTGTGAACAAAGTAACATTTATGAAGGCATTCAGGGAAACCAGACAGGTGGACTTGAGTCCTGGAGGTGGGAAGTACAGTGCCTGCACTCTGAAGGAGGTGGGTGGAAATATGTTGCAGTTTTTTAACTGTAGTATCAACACACCTCTGTTGAGACAGCGATGGAGTGAGTGATGATAAAATTGTTACTTCTTTTTATCTGGTCACCCTGTCTCTGTGGGAAATGGCTAAGGGGTAGGGGATCATCTTAGGAAAGGATGGAGGGAGGGGGTAAAAGAGGTTTTGTGCACAAGGGGCTTGGACATGCAGCAGGCATGTGTGAGCATGTTAGATAGGAGTGAATGGAGAAGAATGGTTTTTGGGACCTGATGAGCTGTTAGTGTGAGCAGGGTAATGTTTTGTAAAGAGATTCAGGGAAACCGGTTAGCCAGGCTCAAGTCCTGGAGGTGGGAAGTACAATGCCTGCACTTTAATTGAGGGGTTTGGGATACTGGCTGTTCGGAGTGACTTCTAAACTGTCATATCTGGGAACCTCTACAAAGACAGTGTATGAAACTGTTTTTATGGGTCACCCTGCCTTGGTGGGAGATGGCCAACATGCTGGAAAAAATATATATATAAACACACACTTATATCTGCTGCATGGATTGATAAAGTTCCTGGTTGATGAAACATCTCAATAAATGCCATAAACTTCATATTGTGTCATACTCACATATACTTCTCAGTATATTTTACCATTGAGATTCATATGGGTCGTGGTTTACATTCTGGACTGCGTGCAGCTAGTGTGAAAACAGTCAGGTTGATCAAGCCTTGATCCACCTGGACTGGCCACAAGGGCATTCACTCTTGAAAAAATTTGCTCTAGGTATCCTACAGGGAGCCCTTCTCAGGCACTGTGACAAGTTGTAATCCTCTCTAGTTAGGCCATTTTATTAGGTTAATTTAAGTTAGGTTAAAGTTCATTATCCTAAATGTATGTACTAATACACTGCAGATAACCAAAAGCCATGAATGCAATATAAAACATTTATCTTTGATGACTTTTGAGTCACTTTTGGGGTTATCCTAGGTAATTTACACTATATATGATAATTGTACTTATGTGTACCTGTGCCTCAATAAAGTTACACCATTCCTGCAGCCTGTTCCTGGGCCAGGCTTGTCTGGTTGATCTGGCACTTGGCTAGATCACTAGGGCCCCTTGTTGCAATACAGCAGGGAACCACTGCTAGACTGGCCACTGTTCCATTCTCTAAATTAACCAATATTTTATTTCTCTTTTCAGTTCATTATGGTGTGAGGAGAGCTGAAGGTAAATGCATGGAAGAAGGGGTGAGTTGAGTAAGGTTAGAGAGAAGTAAAAGGGTGTCTCCTGTCCTCTCTCCCATCCCCTTGGCTAACTATCTTCACCATCCTTCCCATCTTCCAACCACTGACCCATACGAGATGTGGATAACAAACAATAGCATTCTTTACCAGTCTTTGTCAGACATGTGTTGGATGTGAGTAGGGCCTGCCTAGCATGGACCTATGGGGTTACTGCAGTCCACCTCTATTCTTATGTAATGGTTGTGTGTGACCAGAACCTACCTAGCATGAGCCAGGCTTACTGCAGTGTTTCTTTATTATGGCAATCAAATTTTTGGACTGATTTCTGTTTTTATCAAATATCAAGTCTTGACATACATTTTTGGTACTTTTCCTGGTTTTGAGGGCCCTCAAAACCAGGGTAGACATACATGTGAGATGAAAAATGAAGGATCTTGGGGCAGAAACTTGGATAGGCCTATGCTATAAGGTTATACTCTAGTATATACCTTAAATACATAGGAAAGTTACTGAATGCATGGATTTAGGAGAAAAAATAGGGCTCAGCTTAGTGCTCATATAATATAAAAAAAAACCTGTACTGCTGTAAAACTCATGTGTACAAAGGAAGAAGAGCTTGATGTTTCGAGCCAAGAATATACAGTGGACCCCCGGTTAACGATATTTTTTCATTCCAGAAGTATGTTCAGGTGCCAGTACTGACCGAATTTGTTCCCATAAGGAATATTGTGAAGTAGATTAGTCCATTTCAGACCCCCAAACATACTATGTACAAACGCACTTACATACACTTACATAATTGGTCGCATTGGGAGGTGATCGTTAAGCGGGGGTCCACTGTATTAGCTGATCATACAACTTCATGAAGTTACCCTGCTGACTTGGAGGATATTGTTTCTGAGAACAGTTATTCTTGACCAAGTGTTTAATGCAAACAATTTGCATTAGCAAAACGTAAAACAGACCAGCAGAACATTACAGAACACACTAGTAGAAGCAACTACATCCTTCTGAACACAAGAACCACAGCCATCCACCTCAGCGCAGAGAGACAAACTCTCTCCATGTCAACAAATAGAATATAAGGCAAGATAAAATGTAATTGTTATTTAGTACATTATAAAATAAAAGTTTGGCTAATTTGAAGATGTCTGGAATGTAGCCCTATTGTTCTCGTATGTTCTTCAAATAATTCTTTTTATAAGGCGTCGATTTTCAGGAACATAACCCGTATGTTGAAATGATTTATTGGATTTTAAAGTTAATCACCAGCCTGTAGAACACTCCTTTTATACATTCAATCGTACACCAATCTGTAGAATTCTTTTTTTTTTACACATTTCAATCAACAGCATACACCAGACCAGAACGCTTCATTCACACGTCTCAAGCAACAGCATATAAAAGCGGGACAATACCATTTGGAGAACTGGACGATCAGACAAGAGTAATGTTCGCTTCCACATTTAAAGAGTGCAGTTTCATGTGTATACTCAACAAAATCACAGAGAATCAGGTGTGTTTTATCTCCAATGCTGGTTACAGTCACAATGCATAAATGTACAGCATAAGAACAAAAATAGAATAATATACAGTATTCCTTTTCTGTGATTGTGACTCAAAATGGAGAAGCTGAAAATCTGTGAATTTTAAACACAAAATCCCTAAAATGAAATACTGTAGGATATCTTGAGTCATACTCAAAGCTTTAGTGTTCATTTGAGGGGTGTTTTTTGCAAAAATAGGACAAGTTTTTATGAGGTTCTAAGCTAGAGATTTGCCCATCTAGCAAGCACCCATTAAAAAAGGCAATTCATTTGTACACAACACTCCACAGATGGACTCTAACATTGAGAGATCAGTCACTGTTTTTCCAGTACTCTCAGCACACAAATGAATTTTATCACTGAGGGGCACTGAAAAATTCTAGAAGTAATTATAATTTTATATTAGTGAGGAATAAACAAAATACAAATATTCAAAATATAAAAATTTCAGTTGTGTTGCATATATCATCCCTTCCTCAAGGATAGGAAAGTACATTCCAAGCACTGTTCAAAATCATCCTTTTTGGACCCAAGCTACTATGTTATAGCTTCATAAGTCTTCCTGAAAAAATGTATAAAACACTGATGAAATATTCTAAAAAGGATAAAAAATTACTTACAACAACTGGTAACAAGGTGATTGTCCAAACTAATAACAACACCATTATGAAAGATGCCTAATGATCTTGTTCTCAGAATTGAAAATCATGGACACAGATTCTAAACAAATTGTATCCTCTAAGAAACTATTGATTTCTACAGTCGTTGGTTATCACAACAAGTTGCCACCTAAACTGGACCAAGGAAGCTAACAAACTCAATCTGTTACACATGTGACCTTTTAAGGTCAATATACACTATGATAAATTTTTCAAATAATGTTTATCCCAAGCCATAAGGCTAACAATCAACTTTTCATACAAATGATGAATAGGAAAAGAACAGAAGAATTTTACAAAAATAGCAAGTAGAATAGTTTAAATATTTCCACGATTTTATACTAGCAATAGAAATCTATTATTCTCTAATACTTCACTTAATATAATTTTAAGAAAAAGGGTTCCACCCAAGTTGGACTTTCACTAAAGTGAGAATGGCTTAAAAATTGAGTCTGTGTAGGTAAGTGAGGCCATGTAGATCCATGGTGCCCCCTTGGCACAGATGCTGGTGTGGTCAATCCAACACCAATGAATGACAGATGCTGGCCCAAGGACTAACACATAATATCACTCAGAGCATCAGTATCACAGCAACACGTGGGCTTCAACAACGCACGTCGGTGGACACTACTAGACAAGTGCGCACCTTCCGCGTCTACACAGTGGAATCTCAGTTATTGGATTTTTCCGAGAGCATTTAACAGCACGTCCCATTCATCACAGTTCTGCATTGTGTTAAAAAACATACACTACTAAACAATTTCATATAAAAACATGGGTGGTAAAATTTTCCAAATTTCTGCAGCACATGACTAAATTGTTACTGTCCAAACAACCAAGAAACCACTGAACGAACCACACTATAATCAATATGTATGTCATACATATACACAGTGACTGATAAAACATAGTAAACTATAGTATGTGATATATATATAAATATGCTCTAACTGGTACAAGATGAATTGGAAGGAGCTTCAAAAACCCAGCAACCATGTCAATCTCTGGCTAATTGAGCTGCTGATGATCTGTGTGTACAGTGACTAAAACACTTGGGCAGTCATTAATTCTTGCCATACAAGACTGAATGCAGAGAAAGTGTTATTTATAAGAAATGGATAAAATATCCTTTATAAATACAATAACATTACAAAAGTTGGGTCTTCAGTGTTAGTGAAGACCATATAGTGTTTCTGACTAATATACTCTTGTGGGAGAAGGTAGATATAATGTCCATTAACACCTGGAGGGAGCAATGATGCAATGAGAAACAGAGACAGCAGCAGCAAGAATATTGTATGGTCAAGACAGAGTAGTCTCAAGTTGCTTGGGTTACTTCTCGTGAAGCATTGGACTCGTCCTGCTACGCCGCACCCCCAATCAAGGGCGATGGAATCTGTAATGAAAGCAACAATATTTACTGAAAGAACAGAAAATATGGTTCTCTGTAGCACATGAGTATCCCTATACCTCATACCTCTGTATAATGTATAGGGGTTTAATTTTTTAAACAGTGGCTGCATCCCACCAACACATTATTATAATCAAAACTAAGTGCTAAACCCATAAGGGTCATACCCCTCAAGGGAGGTTCGTTGATGCTGGTGAGGGGCTCTTGATGCAGGGAATTGGATCTATGCTCCAGTTCCCTGAATTAAGCTGAATACCTTCCATCCCCCCTCCCCACATGCGCTGTATAATCCGACGGATTTAGCATTCCCCCACGATTATAATAATAAGGGTCATACAGTGCTGTCAAGATAACACATATATAATAATACAGAATGCCAAAACATTATCAGAGGTTATGAATTGTGTTGGTGAAAGGTTTCACATATAAAAGGGAAGGGATGACAAATAGCTATACCTGGAGGGGTTTGAGGGGTCAATGCCCTATGTTATCAAATACATGATGGTTGACAGGAAACTGGCAGGACAGAGAGGTCATGTGTTTGGAAAATATACACTAAGTTATTAAATCCATGGGCAATCCAACTGTGCTTGGGAATGGGAGATAATCAGATTCAATCTAAGGGAAGGCTAGCTTCAATTTCCAACCCTGATTCCTCTCAAGAGAGGTTCCTCAACACTGATGGAGGAGCTCTTGATCCAAGGAATTAGGCCTGGTGCTCTATGACCCATATGGGTTTGGCACTCCCCCTATGAATGATAACCACCTTTAAAGAGGTGAGGAATGGAAGGTAATCACATTTGATCCAATGAAGAGGGTAGCTCCAATTCCCTATATCAAGAGCCCTTCAACAACAAGGCAACCCCCCTTTTTTCTTAAGGGAATGTCCAATAAAATATCACATTTTAACATATAAAAATGACACATGTATAAGGCAGATGAAGAAAGAACAAGTGTGAGCAATAAATAACACAGTAATGCCTTCAAAATGTAAGTATAAAGTTGATCCATTCCTTCAAACATTCCTTTTATATCAGTGGTTGAATATACTGACCAATAAGATAATATGCAATTTTTTACCGCACTGGCTGTCTCTCACCAAGGCAGTGACCTAAAAACTTTTGTTTTTCTTTTTATATTTAGTAATTTATACAAGAGAATTATTATAATCATAACTAAGCACTAAACCCACAAGGGGTTACTAGCCCCTTGCTCCAGGCAATTGAGCTGCTTCTTACAACACACGTGGTTTATGGAGGAAGGATTTATGGCATTTTACTGTGAGGTTTTGTCCACCAGGGACTTTATCAGTTGTCCCAAGTAAACAGCACATATGTAGAGAGAAGTGTAAGGTGAGATATAGAGCTAAGTGTGTGATGTCACCTGTTGTAAGGAGACATAGCAAAGTGGAATCAATAAGGCTTTAAAATTAAGTTGGGCCACTAGGCTGAATGGCCCAATCTAATTTTAAAGTTCCAATGATTCTGTTTAGCTCTCATTACAACAGGTCACTAACCCAGCTCTACCTTCCACTTCACTATATAGATGCTCTATACGTATTTGCTTATCTCTTTGAGAATTGATGAAGTTCATGATGGGCAAAACATCTCAATAAAATGCCATAAACTACATAAGACCTTATAAACCATCAGTGATTAGCCAAGCTGTGAAACCTACATCAGATTGAGTAGCAATCAGTGAGAGTTCAGTCAAACCTCAAGGAAGAGAGTGGTCCCCAGAACCAGTTGAAAGTAGACTGATTCAAGATGAGTGATGAACTATTAAATGAAGATGCACTAATATTATGAGTGAAGGAAACAGAAGAATTAAATCTATAGGGGTTATACAATGGAAGGATAGATTCAATTCCTTACAAGTAATAAATTTTAACTTTTGGTGACAATACAAGTCACAATGTCTTACTCATGGATCATCATAGTTTTTTTTTTCCCACCAAGGTAGGGAGGTCCAAAAAAGAAAAACTGTCATTGTTCACTCCATCACCGTCTTGCCAGAGGTGCACTTACATTACATTTATAAAACTGCAACATTACACACCCCTCCTTCAGAGTGCAGACACTGTACTTCCCATCTCCAGGACTCAGTCCAGCCTGTCAGTTTCCCTGAATACCTTCATAAATGTTACCTTATCTTCCAACAGCATGTCAAGTCCTAAAAACCATTTATCTCCATTAGCTCCTAACAAAGTCATGCATGCTTGCTGGAAGTCCAAGCCCCTCGCACACAAAACCTCCATTAACCCCGCCATTCAACCTTTCCTAGGCCGACGCCTACCTCGCCTTCCCTCCACTACAGATTTATACAAAGTCATTCTATTTAGTCCTATCCTCTCTACATGTCCGAATCGCCTCAACAACCCCTCCTCAGCCCACTGGAAAATAGTTTTGGTAATCCAACACCTCCTCCTAATTTCCAAACTACGAATTCTCTGCATTATATTCACATCACACACATTGCCCTCAGACATGACATCTCCACTACCTCCAGCCTTCTCCTTGTTGCAACATTCACCACCCATGCTTCACACCCATGTAAGAGCGTTGGTATAACTATACTCTCATACATTCCCCACTTTGCTTCCATAGATGAAGTTCTTTGTCTCCACAGACTCCTCTAAGTGCACTGCTCACCTTTTTCCCCTCATCAATTCTATGATTCACCTCATCTTTCATAGAATCATCTGCTGACACATCCAGTTCTAAATATCTGAATACATTCGCCTCCTCCATACTCTCTCCCTCCAATCTGATATCCAATTTTTCGTTACTTTTTTTTTTTTATCCTCATAACCTTACTCTTTCCTATATTCACTTTTAATTTTCTTCTTCAACATACCCTACCAAACTCATCCACCAATCTCTGCAACTTCTCTTCAGACTCTCCCAAAAGCACAGTGTCATCAGCAAGGAGCAACTGTGGCAACTTCCACTTTGTGTTAGATTCTTTATCTTCTAACCCAACACCCAAGCATTCACTTCTTTTACAACCCATCTATAAATATATTGAACAACCATGGTGACATTACACATCCCATCCTTGTCTAAGGCCTACTTTTACTGGGAAATAATCTCCCTCCCTCTTACATACTCTAACCTGAGCCTCACTATCCTCATAAAAATTCTTCACTGCTTTCAGTAACCTATCTCCTATTCTATACATCTGCAACATCTGCCACATAGCTTCCCCATCCACCCTGTCATATGGCTTTTCCAAATCCATAACTGCCACAAAAACCTCTTTACCCTTATCTATGTTTCACTGTAAACACTTGGTCTACACACCCTCTACCTTTCCTAAAGCCTTCTTATTCATCTGCTATCCTACTCTCCATCTTACTCTTAATTCTTTCAATCACCCTGAAAGGGTTACCTTTCAGGGTCCCCAGGCCCTCTCCCAGACTTGTTCTTAGGGTTGTCCAAATTTAAAAAAAAAAAAAAAATTCTTATGAAAAGATAGAGAATCTTTTCCCAATCATAATGACACCAAAAGTATGAAATTTGATGTAAAACTTACGAAAATATGCTCTCACGAAGTTAGCGGTCTCGACGATGTTTACGCATCGGCAATTTTGCCCACTTTGAGCCCTATTTCCGACCAATTCCAGTGTACTAGTCGACAAAAATCATAACTATTTTGCTAGAACTCCATTTTTTCTATCGAATGAGTACAAGAAACCACCCATTTACCGATTTCAACTATCTAATACAGTGGTCAGAATTTAGCAATTTTGCCAATTTCACACAAATTTCAAAAGATGTCAATTTCCAAATAGGGTCCAGAATAAACAAGAAAGACATTCCTGGCACTAAAATAACATTTCCTCTGTTCATTAGTCATGTCCCCATGCCCCTCTTACATTCTTTTGCTTTCCGAGTAACTGATCAAACTACACAGGAGCACTTGTCATAAACAACATTCAGAGCTCGTGAAGTGCTATCTTTATTAATATTTCTGGATTATTATTATAATCAAAACTAAGCACTAAACCCACCAGGGTCATACAGCACTGCAATATTTCTGGACCTCACCACCCCTCACTGGTCTATCTCAACCTTCATTTAATCCACCTACCGAGTAAGATGCTTAGATTCTTCATGAACCTCCATCTCCATACTCTTGAAGTCGTTAAGTTCCTTCCGAATGGCTGCTTTGTCTCTCGGAGTTAGACGTGTCCAAGGCTTGTCTGCCCGCCGGTCATACTCATGGGCCTGAGTCACCTCTATGTAGTCGTTGAAGCGTATGATCTGCACAAATAGTAAATGTGTATTAGAAAAATGCCCTGCCATCCATATTTGACATGATTTCTAATATTAGCTTAAAAAAAAAAATATAACTAAGTTTTTGAAAAATAAGTAGTAACATATTGTTACGTGCCCCTACTTCGCTCCATTATATACAAAAATAAAAGGCCTGGTTAAAATAAGTACTGTAATAATACATCGCGAACCACTTTATTACTAGCTAGATAATGCAGGTTCGACTATATATTATTATCGGGTACGGTATGAATCATCAACAGTACTCTCATTGTATTGTATTGTATTATATTATATCTTTCCCCATGATTATTATAATTATAAAATTATATTATATTATTATTAGGTTAGGTATTTCGAATGTGTAACCACTACTGTAGTGACCAATTGGTGGTTCTAGAATTGACGCCACGCGTCGCCTTCTGGCCGAGCTGAAGTCATACTATGAAGTAGTTGAGTGAGTCAGTCAGCTCCTAGCTCTGACTCGGTACGGGTCTTCAACCCAAAGCTACTAGCTTAAACTAAAACTTTATACCAAGTCTATTGTCTTGCCTTTGCCATTAGTTTCCTGAAGTCTGGTAATTCATGTCACTTATGAAAGATAACTATTTTGTTACCCTAGACCTTTCTAAAAGAGTTAAATGGTGAGATTAGTAGATTATTAATGGAAATTATTGTATCATACTCTGTTAATGAGAATTTGAACGTAAGATTGGGTTTCTTGCTGTATAGTATTTCATTTATAATTGCTTGTGGTTATTTTAATTCACTAACCAAATACCAATGAAGCTAAATGATTGGTAATAAAATAAAACTAACAAAAAATTGGAGTTATTTGTGCCCCTATTGTTACGGTGAAGATTGAGTCGTAACAATATATAAAAAAATACTGACATCTTGAAATCATTTTAATAAAAGCTTGCTTGCCCACCTCCCTCCCTCTCCTCTCTCCTCCTTTCCTCTCCTCTCCTCTCCCCCTCTCTCTCTCCAGTTGTTCTTACCTAAAAAAAAAAAAAAATTATAACTGCAAAAATATATTAATAAAGCAAAAAATAATGAATGATAAAAACAATGAAAGATCAGACGTAAATAGTTTGTTGCTGACAATTGTGAAGAAGACACTGCAGAACAACATTTAACTGGGACAATGTTTCAATCAAGTAAAATCTTGCTAGACTGAAATAACTTGATAACAGTTTGTTCTACAGTCTTTTTTATTTCCAAAACACTGAAGAACATTAGAACAAGCTTTTCCAAGATATATGTTTAGAATACATATGCAGTAATAATCCCTCCATGGTTATTACTAGGACATAAAGGGGGAAGCACTAAATCACTAGGGGTCATACAGCACCTGGTTAAATAAGAGGTACTCAGGTTTAACATAAGGGAGGTAAGGCCCAATATCCTGGATCAAGGGCATATAACCAACATCAAGGAACCTTCCTTAACCCTTTCAGGGTCCAAAGGCCAAATTTCAAAGTCTGCACCAGGGTCCAAGAATTTTCAAAAAATAATTTTGGTATTTTTTCTTATGAAATGGAAGAAAATCTTTTTCTGAAGGTAACAAAACAAAAAGTACGAAATTTGATGGAAAATTGACAAAATTATGCTCTCGCGAATTTTGATGTGTCAGCGATATTTACGCATCGGCGATTTTACCGACTTTGGCTCCCATTTTAGGCCAATTACATTATTCCAGTCTAACCAAATTCTTAGCTATTTCACTAGTATTACTTTTATTCTACTGATTGAGCACAAGAAATGGCCAAGTCAACTGTTCCAACTACAAAATAAAGTGATCGGAAAATGGTAATTTGGCCAATTTAACACAAAGTTCAAAATATTCCAGTTTCAAAACAGGGACCAGAATAAACAATGCAGGCATTCCTGGCACTAAACTAACATTTCCTCTGTTCATTAGTTACATTTTCAGGCTTTACTAATGAATTCCATTTTGATTTTATTCACATAATGAATTTTTATTCAAACCCAAAAATAGAAGATTTACTGTTAAGTAGTTTTGTAATAATTGTATAAATAATATTACGACATTTGTGAACGTATATCAAACCCACCAGCTGGCTTGTATTAGACGTGTGATGTCATTTGTTTACTCCTGAACATCGGCAAAAATTTAACATTTCCGCTACTTTGAGCTCAGTTTCAAGCCATTTTCAGTACTAAAACCAATCAAAATCATCTCTATTTCTGTAGTATATCTTCCATTCTATCAAATGAGACCAAGAAATTGCAAATACAACTACAAAAAACATACAAAAAAAAAAAACACTGCGAAGTCTCTGTTTTTTTTTCTTTCATTATGCACTGTGGCTGCAGGATTTTTTTTGTGGTGCACACATACCACATAGATGCATTCTCTCATATCTATGCCCAAATTTACCACTCACAGCTTATCAGAGTGGGCTGAGCTCATGGCGCAGATTTACAATTTGAACCCTCAACGTAAAACTGTATATCTACGGCACGGACCCTGAAAGGGTTAAAGGTTATCTGTCTATAAGCACTTGCAGTAGTGGGATCAAAGTTAAACATTACCTATGTCTACTGAAAAAGCTTTCTTTTTCAGGCCACCCTACCTTGGTGGGAAACAGCCAATGTATTAATAAATAATATAAATCAAACAAGCTTCTGTGTTTCTGTCTCCATGTGGGTTATTATGGAACAGTAATAAGTATTCACTACACTTTAGTTATTCATTACCTACACAAATAAGCTGCACTTAGCAGCTATATATTTTCTTATTTAAAACATGAATATCATTAATCCTGGTGTCTAAACTAACTACTTAATATACACATATCTGATGCATACCATATATTTTTTTTTAGTCAAAGCCTACCATACACTACCATGCTTAACAATTTAAGGCCCAATTATGCCTACAAGATTCAAGTTAATGCCTATGATGGGACCCAGTAAATGGGAACAAAGTTAGTTATGTATATGTACATGTATATATATATAATATACAGTGGACCCCTGGTTAACGATATTTTTTCACTCCAGAAGTATGTTCAGGTGCCAGTACTGACCGAATTTGTTCCCATAAGGAATATTGTGAAGTAGATTAGTCCATTTCAGACCCCCAAACATACATGTACAAACACACTTACATAAATATACTTACATAATTGGTCGCATTCGGAGGTGATCGTTATGCGGGGATCCACTGTATATACATATTTTTTTCAACAAGTCGGCCATCTCCCACCGAGGCAGGGTGACCCAAAAAGAAAGAAAATCCCCAAAAAGAAAATACTTTCATCATCATTCAACACTTTCACCTCACTCATACATAATCACTGTCTTTGCAGAGGTGCCCAGATACGACAGTTTAGAAGTCCCTCCAAGCTGTCAATATCCCTAATCCCTCCTTTGAAGTGCAGGCATTGTATTTCCCATCGCAGGATTCAAGTTTGGCTAACCAGTTTCCCTAAATCCCTTCACTAAATATTATCCTACTCACACTCCAACAGCTCGTCAAGTCCCAGAAACCATTCATCTCCATTCATTCTTATCTAACAAGCTCACACATGCTTGCTGGAAGTCCAAGCCCCTCGCCCACAAAATCTCCTTTACCCCCTCCCTCCAACCTTTTTGAGCACGACCCCTACCCCTCCTTCCTTTCCCTACAGATTTATATACTCTCCAAGTCATTCTACTTTGATCCATTCTCTCTAAATGACAAAAAAAAAAGGCACAATACCGTGACTGGAACGATACACAAATAACCTGCACATAAAAGAGAGAAGCTTACGACGACGTTTCAGTCCGACTTGGACCATTTACAAAGTCACACTAACCAGAAGTGGAGCAGGACGGCTATATATAGGCAGGAAGAGGTGGTGGTAGTAGTAGTAGCAGTACAAGAATGGTAAATAATACCGACAAGATGAAATTAAGACACATGCGCAACACCCGGGCATCCCTATTGTAGATGTTTCGCCATCCAGCCAGCCACTGGATGGCGAAACGTCCACAACAAAGACACCCAGACGCCGCACATGTGTCTCAATTTCATCAGTAGTAGTAGTAGTAGAAGTAGTAGAAGAGGTAGTAGTAGTGGTAGTGGTAGAAGTGGGGAATAAGGAGGACGAGCCAGTCAAATACAAAGGAAGAGGAGCAAGAGCACAGAGGTGCGAGAAAGGGGAAGTGGTGAAATAAATGAAGAAGGAACAGAAACACGAGACAGAAGAGAGAAAGACAACCCAGAAGAGAAAAAGGAAAGAGGAAAGGGGAAGAGGGAGAAGAAAAAGAAAGAAGAAAAAATGAGGAGTCAGGTTAAGTCACGGGTGTTCTGAAGTTTGGAGCATTTTACAATGTAGTGGGAGAGGAAGGCATCTACAGAGACGAAGCCAGGGCTAAGATTCATACAAGGAAAGTTGTGTATTAGAGAGGATTCAACTAGACGGCGACTGTTCGAGTTGGAAGTAGGGAAGACAGTTTTAGCAGAAGACCAGTCAATAGGATGGCTATGATCTCTGACGTGAAAGAAAAGAGCATTGTTAGTGTCAGCAAGCCTAACACTATTTTTGTGCTCCCTAAGTCTGTCAGAAAGAGATCGACCAGTTTTTCCGAAGTATTGAAGAGGACAGGAGGAGCAAGAAATAGAGTAGACACCAGGAACATCTGTAGAGGGAGGAGAGGTATGAACGAGATTAGTGCGAAGAGTGTTAGTCTGGGGGAAAGGTAAGCTTGATGTCTAAGGGACGGAGAGAATTGTTGAGATTAGAAAGACCAGAAATGTAGGGAAGGCAGAGGACAGAAGAGTTCCCAGGAGTAGAGAGTTTGGGAGAGAAGAAATTACGTTTAGCACGTGAGAGGGCAGAGTCTATGAAATGGGAAGGGTAGCCAAGACGGGAAAACAAATTATGAAGAGTGGAAATTTCATAATTGTTTTCCCGTCTTGGCTACCCTTCCCATTTCATAGACTCTGCCCTCTCACGTGCTAAACGTAATTTCTT